AACACTTATTTGTTTCACGCCCTGCCGCCATCGCGCGAGTGATAGTCGAAAACCTAGTTTAAAACATGGTCACAACTATCTTCCCCCACCTCCTCTTCCTCCTCCTCTCCCTTCTCCTCCTTCTCCCCCTCCTCCTCCTCCGCCGCGGGAAAGATCAGCGGGACAATCTGAGGGAGGAAGATCTGGGGGAAGATCTGGCGGAAGATTTGGCGGAAGATGCGGAATATAATCCTGGAGGAGAATGTGGCGGAATATTTGCCAGAAGATCTCGCGGAAGATCTAGCGGAAGACCAGGCGGAAGATTTCGCGTAAGATTTGGAGAAAGATTTTGCGGAATATTTGGAGAAAGATATGGTGGAAGATTTGGCGACAGATCCCGCGGGAAATCTAGTGGAAGATCTGCCAGAAGATTTGGCGGAAGATGTTGAGGAAGATCTGGCTGAAGATTTGGAGGAAGGTCAGGCGGACGATTTGGAGGATAGATTTGGCGGAAGATTTGGCGGAAGATTTGGAATGCAAATATGGTGGAAGATGTGACGGAAGATTTAGCGAAAGATCTGACGGAAGATTTGGTGAAAGATCAGGCGGAAAAATTGGAAGATAAATTTGGCGGAAGATTTGGAGGAAGAGATGGCGGAAGATAGGGAGGAAGATTTGCCGGATTGGCGGGAGATTCGGCGGAACATTTGGCAGAAGATTTGCGGGAAGATCTCGCGGGAGATTTGGAGGATCAATCTGGCGGAATAAGATACATATAGCGGAAGATTTGGCGGAAGATTTGGCGTAAGATTTCGGGGGGGGGGGGGGGGGGGGGCAGGTCAGGGAGGGTCCGGGACCGGGGGGTGGTCCTCTTCCACCGCGTCCTCCTCCTTTTCCCCTCCCTCCTCCTCCTCGTGCTGTTACGCCTCGTCTTTCTCCAGATCTTCCGCCAAATATTCCTCCAGATCTTCCGCTAAATCTTCCTCCAGTTTTATCCTCCAGATTTTCCGCCAGATCTTTCGCCAGATCTTCCTCCAGATCTTCCGACAGATCTTTCGCCAGATCTTCCGCCAGATCTTCCGCTAGATCTTCAGCCAGATTTGCATTCCAAATTTTCCGCCAGATCTTCCGCTATATCCTCCGCCAGATCTACCGCCCAGATCTTCCGCCTGACCTTCCTCCAGATCTTCAGCCAGATCTTCCTCGAGATCTTCCGCCGGATCTTCTGGCAGATCTTCCGCTAGATTTCCCGCGGGATCTTTCGCCAGATCTTCCTCCATATCTTCCTCCAGATATTCCGCCAGATATTCCTCCAGATCTTCCGCCAGATCTTCCTCAAGATCTTCCGCAAGATTTTCTGGCAGACCTTCCGCTAGACTTTCCCCGAGATCTTCCGCCGGATCTTGCGCCAGATTTTCTTCCAGATCCTCCGCGAGATCTTCCGCCAGATCTTCCGCTAAATCTTCCTCCAGTTTGATATTCTAAATCTTTTGCGAGATCTTCCGCCAGATCTTCCGCCGGATCTTCCGGCAGATTTTCCGCCAGATGTTCCGCCAGATCTGTCTCAAGATCTTCCGCCAGATCTTCCGACAGATCCTCCGCCAGATTTATCCTCCAGATTTTCCGCGGAATCTTCCGCCAGATTTTCCGCTAGATTTTCCGTCAGACTTTTCGACAGATCTTCTGCGAGATGTTCTGCCAGATCTTCCTCCCTCTGATATTTCCGCAACTATCCCGAAACATTCCTTCTGATGTATCGCTTTGCAACCGCGTCAAGTCTTCCTTTGAACACTCCCCAGATCTCTCGACAGATTTATCCCAGATCTTCCTCCTGCTGTTCCAGGGTGTTTCTTGTTTTGTTTCATGCCGCGTCGCGGGTCCGCTTCTTGTTTTTTTACCTAACAGCTATTGCTGATAGGTTTCTAGTGGTCTCAAAAGAGAGCATCATGACTCCTCAGGGGGGTCTGGGCGGGACCCGGACAGGCTGCCGCCGCGGCTGCCGCCGCACTCGTTTTTGCAAACAGTCACACACTTCGTGCTCTTCGACCTCCCAGAACTCCATTCCCGGGCCACATTTTGGATGCCCGGAGCCAACTGTAGGCCATTTCGTGCTCTTCAAGTTCCCAGAACTCCATTCCTGGGCATGATTTTGAATGCCCGGAGCCAACTGTAGGCCACTTCGTGTTCTTCTAGTTCCCAGAACTCCATTCCTGGGCCACATTTTGAATGCTGAGGCAGGCTGATGCTGCGGCCGAGGCAGGCTGAGGCTGAGGCAGGCTGAGGCTGAGGCCGAGGCTGAAGGCAGACTGAGGCTGAGGCTGAAGCAGACTGAGGCTGAGGCTGAGGCAGGCTGAGGCTGAGGCTGAGGCAGGCTGATGCTGAGGCAGGCTGAGGCTGAGGCTGAGGCTGATGCAGGCTGAGGCTGAGGCAGGCTGAGGCTGAGGCCGAGGCTGAAGGCAGACTGAGGCTGAGGCTGAAGCAGGCTGAGGCTGAGGCTGAGGCAGGCTGAGGCTGAGGCAGGCTGAGGCTGAGGCTGAGGCAGGCTGAGGCTGAGGCTGTGACTGCGACTGCCGTTGCCGCTGCGACTGTCATCGCGAATGCGACTACGACTGCGAGAACAGCAGAATTCTACAACTGGATTTTCATCTGAATCTTAAGGGGAATGCTTTCAGATATGCTTCTTCACATCGCTGTTAGGTTGCTTTGCCGGGATAATTGTTTTAATTCCTAGTTTTGTTGTCTGCCTTGCTTCGGGGCTGCAGTCTCTACGGGGCAACCTACAATGTTTGATGCCTTATGTTTAATATTCTCTTTTACCTAACAGCTTTTGCTGATAGGTTTCTAGTGGTCTCAAAAGAGAGCAGCAGATGACTCCACAGGGGGGTCGGGGCGGGACCCGGAACGGCTGCCGCCGCGGCTGCCGCCGAAGCCCAAATCGCTTGGGACATCCTCGCAAAATCGCTCTTGGCGCTCGCTCCCAGAACTCCATTCCCGGGCCACATTTTGGATGCCCGGAGCCAACTGTAGGCCAAGTTCTCTTCACTCCCAGAACTTTCCCGGGCCACATTTTGGATGCCCGGAGCCAACTGTAGGCCACTTCGTGCTCTTCAAGTTCCCAGAACTCCATTCCTGGGCATGATTTTGAATGCCCGGAGCCAACTGTAGGCCACTTCGTGTTCTTCTAGTTCCCAGAACTCCATTCCTGGGCCACATTTTGAATGCTGAGGCAGGCTGATGCTGCGGCCGAGGCAGGCTGAGGCTGAGGCAGGCTGAGGCTGAGGCCGAGGCTGAAGGCAGACTGAGGCTGAGGCTGAAGCAGACTGAGGCTGAGGCTGAGGCAGGCTGAGGCTGAGGCTGAAGCAGGCTGATGCTGAGGCAGGCTGAGGCTGAGGCTGAGGCTGATGCAGGCTGAGGCTGAGGCAGGCTGAGGCTGAGGCCGAGGCTGAAGGCAGACTGAGGCTGAGGCTGAAGCAGGCTGAGGCTGAGGCTGAGGCAGGCTGAGGCTGAGGCAGGCTGAGGCTGAGGCTGAGGCAGGCTGAGGCTGAGGCTGTGACTGCGACTGCCGTTGCCGCTGCGACTGTCATCGCGAATGCGACTACGACTGCGAGAACAGCAGAATTCTACAACTGGATTTTCATCTGAATCTTCAGGGGAATGCTTTCAGATATGCTTCTACACATCGCTGTTAGGTTGGTTTGCCGGGATAATTTGTGTTTACGCCCTCCCTGTATACATACATATATGTGTGTAAATATATACACAAATATGTATACATCTACAGATGTTATGGAAGAAGAATCACAACGAACAGCAAACAACAACCTCCTCTTCCTCTTCCTCCTCCATCTGGGGCCATCCATCCTCCAGTTGTTGCTGCTGCTGTTGGCTTTGGGGCAGTCCTGCGGCGCAGCCATCCTCACCCCCAGCGGCTGTCGCCGCCCGGGGGGATGATCGATCTAGGATACCAGTGACGACGAGCAAAGCGAAACAACAACAAACAACATGACAAACGAACCGGGCGAGGTGCGGCTCTGCATCCCTTGGCGCGGCCGCGCGCCGAACAGCGGTGGTGTTCGCGCTGTGGTTTTTGTCTTGCTCTCGGGATGGGGGGGGGGTGAGAACCGCGCCGAGCCTCAGACACTCCTTTTCTTCTTCCTTCGCTTCCTCCTCCTCCTCCTCCTCCTCCTCCTCCTCCTCCTCTTCCTCCTCCTCCCCAGACTTCCTCCTCCTCTCTCTCTCGTGCTGTGCGTTCCTGTGGATCTTCGAGCCCTGGCGGCGGAGTGCCACGGCGCGGCCCGACCCCCGGCAGGGCCCCCCATACGGAGGCGGCGCCTCCCGCAGATGCGTCGGCCCCTCGCCCTCTGCAAATTGCTGCCCTCGAGGGCGCGGCGCCCGTGTCGGGCGCCAGGCCCGCCGCGACTGGGGGGGGCTGCGCGGCCTTCCAGGAATGGGCGGCGAGATTCTTCAGGCTTCCGCCACATCCGCCGACCCCTTGGATTTTCCCCGGGATCGTTCACCACAGCTTCCTTGCAAACCGTGGGAAAATGAGGTTGTTCAGGGCCCGTCACAGCGAGAAGGGGAGCCGACATGGGTCGCAAACTGGCCCAGGGGGGGGGCTGCGCGGCCTTCCAGGGAGGGGCGGCGAGATTCGAACCCTGCCCTCGCCGATCCTCGACTGGGGCGTGGCGCGGGGGAGCCGGGAGGCCTTCAAAGAAGAGTTGGCGGGGAGAGGCCCCAACCCATGCCTCCACGATCCACGATATTCAGGCAACTCGATGGGCGGCGGGGATGCGGTCGGAAACTTTTGGGAAGCGGGTGGCTCCGCCAGCTTTGGCCCACCATGATTTGGCACACCGCTCTCCTCCTTCTCCTCCTCCTCCTCCTCCTCCTCCTCCTCCTCCTCCTCCTCCTCCTCCTCCTCCTCCCCCTCCTCCTCTTACTCCTCCTCATCGTCATCCTCCTCCTCCTCCTCCTCCTCCTCCTCCTCCTCCTCCTCCTCATCCTCCTCCTCCCCCCTCCGTAGCCCATTTTGGCCCAGGCACAGGCCGCGTCCGTCGAGCTGCGAGGTGCTGCTTCCCCAGCCCCCACGGCCTTGCTCCCAGTCGGCTGCCATTTTCGAAGAAGGAAAAACTGCATAGACTTAACATTTTCGACTGTCCGCGCGGAGCCCTTGGATCTGCGCTTGGGCCCTCCTGGCTGCGCATCCAGCGCCGCCCCATTGGCGCGCTCCGCGCGCCAGGAAAGGGGGGGGCCCAGCGCAGGCTTCCACGAACTCCGCGCGGGCCGCTGCAAGTTCGAGTTCGTGCAGTCGTTTCTTCCTGCGCGCTCCCTCGATGACCAGGCTCGCCGCCGTCGCGCTCACCGTGGCCGGCGCCGCCGGCTGCGCCGCCTTCGTGCAGCCCGGCGCCCCCCGCGCCGCCGCGCGTCCGAGGGCACCGGCGGCCGGCCTGCGGCGCTGGGAGCCCGCCGCGCCGGCGGAGGCGCCGGCGGCCGCGGAGGGCTCCCCCGCGAGGGGCCTGCTGGCCGGGCTGGCCCTCGGCCTCTGCGTCGCCCTGGCGGGCGCGCAGCAGGCGCGGGCCGAGGGCGAGGGCCCGGCCGGCAGCGCGCCGCCCGCGCAGCCCGCGCCGCCCATGCTGGACATGCCCGGAGGAGGAAAAGGGGAGGCCGGAGCACGAACGCTCGACAGTTACCAGCCTGGAACAGATCCCTCTCCCGATGCTGGGCATCTCCTCATCACGATGCCAAGCTCAGGGATGCCCTTATATTTTTTGAGGGCGCATCCCTAGGATTGTCACCGCCTTTTGGCGTGTCCATCTTAGGGATAGGGATAGGCTCGAGGCTGGTAAGACGGTGCGCGCGGATTTCTTGGATATGCGGTGGGGCCCCACTACCTGGCGCGCGGAGCGCGCCAGGGGCGGCGCCGGAGGCGCAGCCCAGAGGGCTCCAGTGCCGATCCAAGGAAAAGCCACGCGGCGCTCCGAAAGTTTGTGTGCTTGTGCCGATTTTTTGTTCCTCTACATACGCGACATGGAGTACAAGGGCGAAAAGGACTGGCAGGCGAAGCTGGCGGCGGCCGCGAAGTACGTGAACAGGGTGGAGAACGGCGTCGGGCTGCAGACCTGGAAGTACGGCAAGGATCCCGATAAGAAGTACACGATGAGCTCGACCGGAGCTGGAACCTTCCTGCGCTACAACCTGGCCAACTACCAGGTCGTCCCCAGTTACCGGGGCTCGGCGGCCGACGACGGCACGTATCTCATCGACCCGATCCAGATCAAGAGGGCCGCGGCCCAGCGTGCCGAGTACGAGAGGGTCCGGAAGGAGGTGGCCCCGATCTGGCTGAAGGACGGTGGCGCGACCGGCAACGTCTGGCCCAGCCAGGGCATGTACAAGCCCCGCACCTACACCTCGGCGTACCAGCCCGTGCGGCAGCAGTAGGTGCCCGCCCCCGGGCAGGGCCGCGGCAGCGCGCGCTGGGCCTCGCGTCATGGGGGGGGGGCGATCAATGGGGGGCGGCGAGGGCTGCAGAACGGCCCCTAGAGTTGTGGATGCCATGGCAACGGACACTCTAACAATCCGATCATTGAATTAGATATGTGCTTAAGAAGTGTAGAACATGTTCAACGAATGCTTCAAACATGTATTTACATATTGAAAACATGTTTGAAACATGTTTTAGACTTCTGGAAGCTATTTGGCAGCATGCTTCCTCTCCATTGATCGACTTCCACAACCCTAGAGGGGCCCACTGGGGCCCAAAAGACCGCTTCTAGGGCCCGACATTTTTGCGCCCTTCTTCCCCCCCCGCTCATCGCCCCTTCAACTAGCGACGCCCCAGCGCCAGAGCCGTCGTAGGGCCTCGCTGGCGCGCTCTGCTCCCGGTGTTTTTTTTTTATTGAGTCTGGCCCGCTCCGGCTCGCGCGGGAGGCAGGCGGATCGCTCAAGTGGCGTGCAGCGTGCGTACGTTCTCTCCCCTTTTTTTTTTCTCTCTCTCTCTCTCTCTCTCTCTCCCTCCCTCCCTCCAGGCCAGCCACAACTGGGGGAGCTGTGGTCCTTACCCCCCTGGGGGGCCCATCGATTTCGACACCCCTCTCGAGAGCTCGTCGACGCGATGGGTTCTCCCAAGGGGGGGCAGGGACCACCGCTCCCCCAGTTCTGGCTGGTCGGCTCTCTCTCTTTCTCTTCCTCTCTTTCTCCATCTCGCGCGTCACGGGCCCGGCGGGCGCTCGGAGTGCGCTGGGCACGGCCGTGGCACGCTCCTCCTCCTCCTCGGCGGAGCAGGAGGTCGTGATACCGATGCGTTCCAGCATCTCCAGGATTCCCTGCACGAGGTTCCAGGATTTCCAGGATTTCCAGGACGAAGGATTGCAAAAAAAACGAAGGATTGCAAAAAAAACCTCCAGGATTTCCAGGATTTCCCGTTTTTTTTTTTTGCAATCCTTCGTCCAGGATTTCCAGGATTTCCAGGCCCTCCTGTTCCTCCTCCCGGAGGAGCAGGAGGTCATGATACTGATGTGTTCCACACGGGCTGCAGAGGCGAGGGCCGCTAGGTACCCTGGAGATCCTGGAGCACATCCTGAGCCAGTCTTATCATGAGATGCTTCCCGTCCGATCCTCTTCTTCCCCCTCCTCCCTCGGCCCCCTTCCCTCGTCCCCCGAGTCCCAGCATTCGCTTCGCGCCGGATCTCGCTCGCTCACTCCTCCGGCTCCCTATTACACATGTCTTGCGCATTCGTGTGCCACAGCGTTGCTCATGATTTGTTGGATCAACTCACCCCGCTGTAAGAGCGCCTCATCTTCACCATCGCCATCATCCCTGAGGGCTTCGGTCTGACTTTCCGATGTACGCATTGGCTGTTGGAGTGTGGTGCAATTCCCTGGCGCGCGATCAGACTTCTCTCTGATCTCTTCAGGTCCTTGGTGAGGAGGGGAGGAGTACGCTGAGACATGGACCGCCGATTCTCGCAACGGGTCTGAGACGTGCGAAGGGTGTTGCGATATTGCTTCGGCAGACTTCTGTTTCAAGGATGAAAAGCACGATAGGGGTAATCGACGTCTGAGGTTTGTCGATCACTTTGTCGACCGCTACCTGACCCTCGGAATCGTGCCCGTGTCGCAGGAGGCAGAGGAGCTCGCCTCTCTTCTTGTGTTGCCCACGGAGTCTCTGCGCGATCCAGTGTTGCATTCCATCCCACTTCGCAGAACACGTTGGGAGGTCATGCTCTTGCGATTGTCTTGTGTGTTTGTCTTCCTTCGCCCTGCCTTGAGTGCGACACACCATCACTACGAAAACAGCCCACGAGATCGCGGGACAAAAACCGTTTGGCTCGAGCCCTGGCCAACGATGGGGCACGAGGCAGAGAGTGCGCCGTTCGCGCGAAAAAGCTTCGCGCGAAAACTGCGGCCGTTCGAGCGAAATCCTTTCTGCGCGGGCGTGCGATTGTCGAAGTAGCGCTCAGAAGCGCCCCAGAAGCGCCCCCAGCAGCACCGCGTCCCATGTAGCTTGGCAAGGCATCCCCACGGCGCGTCGCAGCCTCTCGTAACGCGGGGCCTTTTTATTATGCACACTGGAGACTGGCACGCTCGCGACTCGGGCGGCTCAGGCGGGCGGGGCGGACAAGGAGAGGAAGATGGGAAGGACGAAAGACGGGAAAGAGAGAGTGAGCCGGGGGGAACGCCTCCTCCTCCTCCTCTTCCTCGTGCTCCTCCTCCTCCGCCGCCCCTGCTGCCGCTCGCCCTCCTTCGCCGGAGAGGGTGAGAGAGAGAGAGAGATTGAGAAAGAGAGAGAGATTGAGAGAGAGAAAGAGAGAGAGAGAGAGAGAGAGAGAGATCGAGAGAGAGATTGAGAAAGAGAGAGAGAGAGAGGGAGTCGGAGGGAGGAGGCGCGACAGCAACACCACCAGGGGGCCCACCTCCGGCGAGGAGGTCCCCGATGCCTCCCCGAGCTGGAGGTTGGGGGTGTCTCGAGCGAGAGGGGAAGACCACACCACCAGGAAGGCCCCCCTTGCCTCCTCGCATCTCTTCTCTCTTGTGGTGTTGGTGTCGCCTTTCCTTCTTCCGACGGGAGAGGGGGGGGGGCAGGAGGATGAGTATTATGCCAGGCTGAGCGAAGAGGTGGGCCTGCCCACTCCCACCCTCCCATACCATACGAGCCGATGCTTGCGCAATTCTATAGAGCGGGACTTGCGCGCGTTCCCATCTAGCGAACGGCAGGTGCTCGCGTGCGGTCCCACCATCGACGGCTTGGCGAAGGAAGCTTCCAGAAGATCTCTGCGCGGCGTTGCAGGGAGAACACCCGGTTTGCGTCTTTCGTGCGAGCAGGTTTGCGATCGGAGTGCCGAAGACGAAGCTTGTGTGCCGCGCCGAAGCAGCGCTGCCGCTGCCGCGCGCACTCTGCACGGCGCAGGGGCCGGAAACAAGTGCTTCCCGCTCGCGCGCGTGCCCACTGCCGCCTTGTGTTCCAACCCAGCGCGCGAGAGATGCGTGCCGCGCCGCAGCGCGAACGCCTCGGCATCGCTCGGGCGTGTGCATTCGATCTGGGCCAGGACAGTCGAGGAACATGTTTGGCCATCCTGCGAGAAACATGGGGGACCAGATGCGAACACTGCCCCTATCCCCCCCACGGCTTCTGAGGGGGAGGGTGGGGCTCACTTCGCTCGGGAGCTCCCGAACGAAGCGAACCCACCCTCCCCCTCGGAAATTGTGGGGGGGGAGGGTCAGGGTTCGCATGTGGCCCCTAGATAAATTCAGGAGGGAAAAAACACACAGACACAATTAATCGTCGATCCCCCAGAAAATATAGGAAAACATGGGAAGTGGTGGGGAAGACAAAAAACCAAGAAACTATAAGAAAATATGGGGAATCTTATTATTTGTGTGTATTTGTTTCTGTGTCCTGGGGCCCCTTCATAAATCCACGTACGACACCGAACGTTCAGGGGGAATGGACGTCCGAACGATGGCGAGACGCCGCTGCCGCGCAGCATCTGCAGGGAGCTCCCGGGCGAGGGCGACGCTTCGCCCTGTCCGCGTGCGGCCCCCGCTCCCGACCCCAACGACGTGGCGAGAGGAGGAGGAGGGGGAGGAGGAGGAGGAGGAGGAGGAGGAGGAGGAGGAGGAGGAGGAGGAGGAGGAGGAGGAGGAGGAGGAGGAGGAGGGGGGGGGGGGAGGAGGAGGATGTGCCGAGGTATCGCTTCTGTTTGCACTAAGTTTAAGTCGGGCAGGTCCCTCTGCAGGAGGAACATCCCCAAGTAGTCAAAAAATAAACAGGGAACGAGGTTTCGACTACTTTTGACTACTGTTGCGTACATGTCTGACTACAGTCGGCCCGGATTAGTAGGTCGACCCTGCCAAATCAAGGGTACCCTGATGTCCTGCGTCTCGCGACTCATGCTTCCTACATTCCTGTGGCAATGTGGCCCTCGGAAGGGTCTTGTGTCCTCTCGCGTGTCTTGTCCAATCGAGTGACGTGCCCGACCTAACGCTCGTTGGCTGGGTGACCAAATAGGTGTGTATATATGTGCATACATATGCATATGCATACATGTGTGTGTGTGTGTGTGTGTGTACAGCTGTCTTCGGCTTGGGTCCTGGGTGAGAGGCCCCTCGGAAGGCCGCTGGGACCTCGTGGGGGCCCCCTGGGGGGCCTCCCAGAGGCAGTGCGGTGGCCTCTGGGACTGCTTGGGGGGCCTTGCGTCGGGGCCTCTTGGGGGGGTGGTCTTTGGGGGGGGGCTCTTGGGGCCTCCTGGCAGCCCCTCGGGGCCGAGAGCCCGGGAGGACCGCTCGGGTCCCCCGCCTGGGCCCCCCCCCTTTTCCAGCCGCGCTGTGGGGCCCCCTCGGGCAGGTCTGGAGGCCCCTTAGAGGCTGTCTTGTGGGGCCCCCCTGGGAGGCCTCTCGGGGCGATCTTTGGTCGGGCGACGCGATTTGTGCACATGCACCGCTCTTGGCCAGGCCAATCCTGGGCTCGGGATGGGTGCAGATGCCTTCCTGGCCAAGGCAGGAAGGAGTATACACCGATCATGGGCTCAGGGTGGGCCTGGCCAGAATCGGTGTATGCGCATCATCGTGTTTCCTCTATTTGGGGGCCTCTGCAGCCGCCACGGGGCGTCGGGAAGCCCAACTTACGATAAGAATCGCAGGACTCGATGCTGACACCAACACCAATATCGGCGGCGTGCCTCCACCGAGGGAAGAAGATCCCTGTCTTGGTGATGGCGGTAATATTCTGGCCTCCAAGGTGGCCCAAGTATTACCACCAACACCGAAATTCATTATCATCTTCCCCCTGTGGAGGCAACCCCCTGTGTTGGTGTTGGTGCCAATTTCCAGGCCTCCAAAATAATGCATGAATCCTTGAACAACCCAAGGGAAATCACCGGTGGTTGCCTCGGGCCCTCTCGGGAGGCCTCCTGGAGGCTTCTTGGGGCTCTTAGGGGGGCATCTTGGGCCGTCTCGAGACCGTCTTGGGCGTCTTGAAGCGGTCTTTCGGCGACTCGGGGCCCTCTTGGACCGTCTTGGGGAAGCTCTCGGGGCCCTCCCGGGCCCCGTGGCGGGGCCCTCCCTGGGCGCCCGCGGGAGTCCTGCGGCGAGGCTCGACGACGCGCCCGAAGGGGCCGCGCGGCGCGCCCCCGGAGAGCCCATCGGGAGGGAGGACCGAGGCTCCACCGGATCCAGCAGGTGACCCGAGGACTCCTCCTCCTCCTCCTCCCCCTCCTCCTCCTCCTCCTCATCATCCTCCTCCTCCCAGCCACGCGCAGAGGGGGGTGGGGGGAGGGGGGAGGGCTTCTTAGAAGCACCCCTGCTTCTCAGAAGGCGCGGGCCTTTATCTATAGATGTACGGCTGGCGCCTTCTAAGAAGCAGCCTGCTTCTGAGGAGCCCTCCCCCCTCCCCCCACCCCCGTGTGCGCGCCGCCAAAGGACGCTCCAGCTCGTGCCTCACGGGCACGGTGGCGGATACTTGAGCACGGGCCGAAGTATCGGTCGGCGTGGTTACAGCCAGGCATCTGATAAGGCAGCCTCCTCTTGGAAAGTTGGGCCATTGTTTCCCAACCGACTTGCTAGACATCTGGCCCAGCTTCTTAAGCAGGTTCGTCCCTGCAGTGCTAATGCGAACAAATGGCCAAGGTTCGTTTCAAACAACTGTTGGAGAGCTGACCCAGTTGTCTTAGATGATACTTGGTGACGCCTCTCGTACCCTCACCGGCCCATCAAGACACGATCGGAGGCTTTCTTGAGGCCTCTTGGAGACTATCTTGAGCCATGCTCAATGAGAGGCTGTCGGACGCTATCCTGCGCCATGCGCAGCTATCTTGGAACATCTTTAGGCTGTCTTGAGGCTTCGTGGAGGTCTGTCGGAGCCTATGTTGAGCCATGCTCGAGCTCCGGGGACCATCTTGGGGGTAGAAGAGGGAAGAGGAGGCGGAGGAAGAGGTCGAACAGAGAGAAGGAGGAGGAGGGGGAAGAAGAGGAGGAGGAGGAGGAGGATACGTCACGAGGAGGATGAGGAGAAGGAGGAGGAGGAGGAGGAGGAGGGAGGAGGCAGGAAAGGAGGAGAAAAGGAACGGACGATGACAAGGAGGATGAGAAGTCGGTTTTTGGAAACATGTTGTTGTGAGAGGTGCTTGAAGGACGATTGGGGCAATCTTAGGGTCTTTCCTCGGGTCCTCGTAGGGCATCTTGGAACACTCTTGGGGCCCTCTTGGGGCTCATGTTGGGGGTCTTGGGGCCCGCTATGGGCTCATTGAAGAGGTCTGGAAGGCATTGGGCCCCAGGGCTCAAAAAGAGGGGGGATCACG